GGCAGGGGGCGTAGCAGCAGGAGCACAAGGTGGCTGGTCATGTGGCATCCACAGTCAGGAAGCAGAGAGTGATGAATGTTGGTACTCAGCTTGCTTTCTCTTTTTCATTCAGTCCAGGACCCCAGCCTACCCATATTCAGGTTGGGTCTTCCCACCTCAGTTGATCTAATCTAGGTAATGTCTCACAGACATATCCAAAGGCTTATCTCCTAGGTGATTAGAGATCTTAAGTTGACGCCATTTTTTTAAAAAGTGGAATCCAACTGACTTCCTCTTCCACTTCTTCCTTCCTACTTCCTCCTCTGACTCTCCTTGGGATTGGAAAATATCTCATTAAACAAAGACCCAGGATGGAGCCCACTAGACAGTGAACTAGACAATAGCAGTTCCAAGTGTTTGTAAAGTGTGCTGTCTTCTCTCTGAACCCTAACCAGGCATCCAGCTGTTGCTATGGAACTGAATGTTAGAAAAATAGAAAAAAAGCCAAATAAATGAAAGGCCTTAGTAGTTTCTTTAGAAACCTCCAGGCTCTCTTGGTCTGCATGAAAAGTCAGGGGGAGAACAAGATGCCTCACCACGGTACGGTCGCCATCCTTTAAAGTGCCTCGTGGAAGGAAGCAGGTGGTGGCACAGGTCTGGTCTGCAGTTTCCAGCTGGGGTCCAGGTGGTTGGGACTCCAGAGCTGGCTATTTTTTTGGTAGGAAACTGACATCTTGGGCTTGTGGGCCAGGGAGTTGCTGCAGACCCCAAGGACACACAGACCACAATAACACAGTGAACTTGCTGATCCCAGCCTGTTGGGTTGCTCAGAGGAAATGACCCCCATCCATTATCCTGCCAGGTCCTGCCTCCAGCTGGGCACAATCCTGTGTGATGGAGGAGGCCGAGGCTGTGGTGGCTCAGGGAGTGCATGGAGCCATCTTAGTCTGGGTTCTCTCTGAGGCTGACTGAAACAAGGAGACTCGTGCAAGGGATTCACAATAGAGCTGTCTCCAGGAGAGGACAGGGCAGGGGTGGCAAGGCAACCAGAGGATGGAGGAGGTGGAAGGAAGAGCCATTTGCTGGTCCAGCCTCTGCCTCCTTCTGTGGGGGACTCTGGGTGTCAGTTACACATCAGAGGTTGTCCTGCCTCCAGGCCAGAACCCCTCACTTTTGTCCCTCTGTAGTGTCCAGTGATCCCTAGAGGTAAAATCTTCCTCTCAAGGCCAGTTGGGGTTGGACAGAAGTTCAGATTCCAGCTTCCAACTCCAGGCTGAGCTGGTGTCCCATGCACTCATTTGCATGAGGGGCCCACCATAGTCACACAGAGCTCTGGGATTTAGAACAGATGAAAAAATCAGAAGGGCATTTAAATTCTTTAAAAAATTATTTTGTGTGTGTGTGTGTGTGTGTGTGTGTGTGTGTGTGTGTGTGTATGCTCACTCGTGTATCACAGTATGGATGTGGAGGTCAGAAGGCAGCTTTTGGGAGTCGGTTCTCTCCTCCCACCACGTGGGTCCTGGGGATTGAACTCAGGTCATCAGGCTTAGCTGCAAGTGCCTTTGCCTACTGAGCTGTTTTGCTGGTCTGGCACTGAATTTTAGTCATTAATTCTCTGTGTGTGACATGGCCCATCTTTTATAAGATGATAGCGATAATCGGTTGGAAAGAGCTTCGAGCTGTTTTGCTTCTTTTCATTATTGATACATTATGGTGCTGGAGGTGGAGGCCAGGTTTATGTGTTAGGCAAGCCATCTACCCCTGAGCCACATCCCAGCCCTTTACTGCAGTTTTGATATCATAGAGATATAAAAAGCAGAGATGGGGGCTAGAGAGATGGCTCATCGGGTAATAGCGCTTAATGTTCCTATAAAGGACTGAGTTTGGTCCCCAGCACATATTGAGAGGCTCATATCTGCCTATGAGTCCAGCTCTATGGGATCTGATGTCCTCTTCTGGCTTCTGGGAGGCACTTGCACACATATATGACACACACAAATAAATCAGTCTCTTTGGACATCAGCTTTTAAAATATTTTAGTTATTTTCATTTTATGTGTATTGCCTACATGTGTGAGTGCATCTATGTTGTGCAATGCCTGAGGAAGTCAGAAGAGGGTGTCAAATTACCCTGGAACTGGAGTTATGGATGGTTGTTAACTGCCACGTAAGTGCTGGGGATTGAACCCTGGTCCTCTGCAAGAGCAGCCAGCGCTCTTAACCACAGAGCCACCTCTCCAGCCCCTTGGACATCAGTTTTTGCAAACAAAAGAAAAAGGTGGTAGTTCCCACTCCAGGGTTTGGGGAGGCAGGGGTATACAGGAAGGACAATGGTTGCCTAGGGGTATTGAAAGTGCCATGGCGCTGTGTTAGCATGTGGGCAGTAGTTAGTAACCAGCCTCTGAGTTGGAGCTGACCTCCTGCCAACTCCTGTGCAGTGATTGGATGAGCCATCTCCTAGCTTATCCTGTCTTTTCTCCAGACACCCAGCCAGTGCTCCCCTCCCACCCCCGGGTACTTAGCCACAGTGTCACAGGGCTTCTTAACATTGGCACTCTTGCTGTTTAGGGCTAGGTGCTTCCTTGAGGGAAGGGCTGTCCTTGCTGTACGACTGAGCACACCCAGCCTCTAGCCATTAGATGCTATTAGTACCCCCAGCGGACATGGCCAAATCCCAGCCCCAAACTCCCCCAGGATGAGAGCCACTGATTCATCACATCTGGCCTGACCTCACGATGCAGTTCAGGGCCCAAGCCAGCTGGATTCACAAGGTCAGGTTTAGATGTTGGCTCCACACTTACTGCTGTGTGGCTTTGGAAAGCCACATGAGCTCTCTGAGCCCCAGGTACTTCAGTTGTATAAGGGGTAGTGGAGCTCCATAGGACTATGGGGGGGAATTCAGTAAGGTGACCTGTGCTCTGCTGGAGATGGGAAATGTGTAGGGTTCAGACTGAGCAAAGGTGAGGAGGAGGCTGGGACCACAGAGGTTTGAGGAAGGCCTAATGGAAGCCTGTGTTTTGGCTTCCAGGCTCTTCCCCTTAGCTTGTGCTTGTTCCCAGGCTCTTAACTGCATCAACTGTGCTGAAGCTGATGGGAGCCCTGGGGTCACAGAGGACCACAAGCCAGAACAGGGACTATCAGTGCTAGGCATCTGGGAAGATGCTGTCTCTTTCTCTCCTGCTAAGTAGGAAAGCAGAGGATGGAAATGTCCAGGCTGGACCTGAAGCAGCTCTTGTTGGTTGATTATTTATGTCAGGACTGGTCCGTGTCTCACCTGCTTTGAATGCTGATCCCAGCTCTCTGCTGTGGGAGGAATTATTGTGTCCACTTTACACTCAAAGAAACTGAGGGTCTGAGAGCTGATGTCAGGACCTGGACAGGCTCCACGGCACATCTAAGTGACAGAATTCGGTAGCCACCACAGACTTCCAATAGCTCAGTTAGTTAGGAGCTATGGAGTAGGGGGAGTTTTGTTAGGCAGCATGTTCTTTACACTAGTTGACACACACCCAACAATGTCACACCCCAGGAAGCAGGCCAGCGCCTGGCTCAAGTCTCAGCAGGGAGTGGGAATTCTGGGGCGTTGCGTTTTACCATCAATATACACTGCCACCGCCACCTCACAGGTGCAGGACATTTTCTAGGTGCTGATCACTACTTCAGAGCTTTTGGTAATTTGCAGAAGTCATGTAATATGGGTAGAAGGCTGTGTCCATTTCACAGACGAGGGGATGGAGGCCCAGAGAAGTTAAGCCACCTGCCCATGGACACACAGCTTACACGAAGTAGAGAGGTTAATTCTACCCAGGGCTGTCAGTGTGCTCTTGTGCTTTGAGTGTCAGTAGGGGAGGGACCTGCCAGGATAGGTGAGCAGGACAGGTGAGGCAGTCAGGATGGAACTGGGAGAGAGGTGGTTGGAGCAGCTCTGGAGCATAGCCCCCCATCTCCCAACTTCAGCTCTCCCTGTTGCTCCTGGGCTTAGATGTTTCATAAAAGCATTTCAGAAACCAGTACATGGCTGAGGGGAGGGGGATGGCTTAGTGGGTAAAGCACTTGCCTTAAAGCATGAGGCCCCAAGTTTGATCCCCAGAATACACATGAAAATGTCAGCCGTGCAAGCTGCCTCCCAACACTAAGGAGGCAGAGAGAGGTAGATATTTGTGAGATGAGGCCAGCCTGGTCTACACTGTGAGTTCCAGGTCAACTGGGGCTCCAGGTAGACCCTGTCTCAAAAAGAACCCCCCACCCCTGCCAAAGAAAAAGCCAGTCGTGGTAGCATGCCCTATAAACCCAACGCTGGGAAGATAGAGACAAGCAGAGCTCTGGGACTCTCTGGCCAGTCAGCCTAGCCGACTCAGTGAGTTCCAGGCCAGTGAAGGACCCTGTCTTTAAAACCAAAGTGGAGGGCACTGGGGTAATAACATTCGAGGTTGTCCTCTGGCCTCATGCACACACACATACACACACACACACACACACACACACACACACATACACTCCATTCTGTGTGTTCCTCACACTATGTGTGTGAATGTGTGGGCTGCTTGAATGGAGGATGCAATCAACGCTGGGTTCATAGTCCTTACTTCTCAGCTAGTGCTCATGTCTTCTGCCTCCCCCAAACCCCCCAGTTTGTAGCTGCTCTGGGAAAGGAAGAGTCATCTGAATGGCATTGGCCTGTGGAATGTTAGCAGCTGTGGTAGGAGGCAATGCTGTGCATGTTTGGGCATTCTGGTCTGCTTTCATGTTCAGAGAACACATATAGAATGACTTTCAACCTGATCTTGAACCTGAAGCCTCAGAGGAGCCTCTTAGTAAAGCCCAACTTAGACTTACAGATCCAAGTACATGAAGATAAGTGCTAGTTATTTTAAGTGGTAGAGTTTGGAGGTTGTTTTGTTATGTGGCATCATTGGGGCAGTTATCTGACTGATACATGTAACCATTGTTATCCACTGGGCTTCCTTTCATACAATAGAGAGACAGCAGGATTCAGACCCATAGTGACAACAGTTATGCAGTAATTCTCAAATTCTTTATTGGCATAAATAATTCAGACATTGGATTCTCACTAAACATTGCACTAAACACAAGAAACAACAGGCTTGCCGGCTCAGAGGCTCACAAACTGTCCAACAGCCCAGGTTAGAAATACTTTTTGAGAAGTGTAGAAAACTTTATAAATGATTCTGTACAAATATACATAGTGATCATCCATCCACCTATCTATTCACCCATCCATCCATCCATCCACCCACCCATTCATCTATTCACCTATCCTTCCATCCATCCATTCATCCCTCATGATTTCCTGGATGATAATCAAATATTCTTTCCCAGCAACAACATGTTGGCAATGAGAGAGAAAGAGAGAGAGAGAGAGAGAGAGAGAGAGAGAGAGAGAGAGAGAGAGAGAGGCCAAGACAGATCTAGAAAGGGCAAAAAAGAGATGTAGTGGTCCTGAAGAAAAATGGGAACCCAAGGTCAGAGGTCAGCTCATCCTGTGACGGTCAGCACAGACAGACAGAGTAAACAGTGTGGGCCTGAGGTCTTTGGGGGCTCTGTACAAGAATTAGTCTTTACATATATATATAATATATAGTATTTATAGCTATATATACTCTGTGTATACAAAAGGCCACAGCATAATTTACAAGGGAAGCCTTTTTACAATGAGGGATCTTTCCCCTGTTGGTGACTTGGAGAACTGTCACTAGATGGGGTGTGTGACAGGTCTAGGGGCGGACCCCTGAGAAAGATCAAAGGTTGGGGTAGAAGGAACAAGAGGCCAGGGGTGGGAGCAGGGGCCTCCTGAGCCTGGCTGCCATGGGCAAGGGTGTTCTCCTGGTGTGGCCAGTCTTGTGTGCCTCAGATGATGCCCCTGGCTTTGACCTTGGGGTTGTGGGGCAGGAAGAGGAGCATCTTGCTTCTGTGAGGACCTTGGTGGCCAGGGGCTAATCTTTCTGGAGACTTCTCAGCTCCCTCTCATATGCCAATCCCCCTGCAGCTGGGGGTCAGTCCCTAGAAGACCTGGCTGTCCTTGTTTACAGTCCTTGTTTACAGATGCTGGGCCATCAGCATCTACGCGGGTGGGAAAAGCCCCTGCCTCTCTATTCCAGCCCCGTTTGTCCAGGGACATCCCGAGGGGTGGCTTTCATGGGGGACGTTCAGTCAGATGCTGAGATGCCATGGACTGGGACACTGTTGAACACTATTTCGTTAACTGCTGCCATCCACATGGGGGCTAGTGACAAACTAGGTGCTATGAACTGCACACAGCTAAGAAAGTCCAAGGAGCACTCCCATAGGAGCTGCGGATACTGAGAAGTTGTAGGTGAGATCGTGGTCCACCAGGGAAGCAGTTGGAAAGATGGGAGTTGAATCAAGTTGAAGCAGGCTGACAAGCCCCACTTATTTACAGCCCCACCACAGGGAGTTCTATGTTGGCCAAGGTGCTGCTTTCTATTCCCCAAGCCCAGATATTTATAGGAACAGAAGATTCCCCATCCCACTGCCAAGACCCATGCATTCTCTTTTACACTTCAGACCCTGTTGCAGATTCAGCCCAGGACCCACTATGACCCCTGGGTCTTCTTCAGTCACCAAATGAGCATTTTGGCATCACACTTGTCACATTTCTGTGGAGAAACACGTAAGGTGTGGGGGGGGTGTCTTTCCATGAACATGTTTCCATGTCTCTTATGTCCTTGATGGCCACATTCAATAGAGTGACTGTCCAGGAAGAGACCATAGCAAGACTGCCAGGGGTAGGGTTTTCTGTGAGATGAGTCTGTGTCTCTCTGACACATCAGAGACACTGTCCTGAGAGGTGGCAGAGGGAGTGTGAGGGAAAAACAGAAGCAGGCAGGAGCATACTTTAAAGGAAAGGACTGACTGGCCCACGGTCGGCAGAGACACGTGTGGACCTTCAATGTCTCACTCTGCCCAGGGTCAGGAGGGAGGAGAGGAACCCCTCAGGGGACAGAGTCTCAGTTTACCCAGCTTCTGCTTGGGAGGTCGTCTCAAATTCCCAAAGAGCTTTGCAAACTTCAGTCCCTTTCAATGCCCTCCCCCCATGCTGGGCCTGCTAGGCCTCCAGGACCCCCAGATCTCATTCTAGGGGTAATACAGAGAACTCCCCTTGGGCACATCCCTAGATCAGAGGTAGAACAGTCATGTCCAGGGCATATTGCTCAGTGACTTTAGCTCCACCAGGAACAGGAGGATCATGAGCTCAAAGCTAGCCTGGACTAGAACAGACACCCAAGAATCAACATCCAAAGTCAACAGTGCTGAGGCTGAGAGACCTCTAACCTAGCCTCCATCCTTCTGCCTCTGATTCCTTCAGACCCCAACCTAATCTCTATGCCCTCTCCACAGTCGCCTATGTTTCTGGCCCCTCTGAATTTTCCCTATAGCCTTCTGTAAGTGGCAAATATCTATGTTTACGGTTGGTTGTTTCTTGTCTCTCATCCCTCTGAGATGCTTAGGATTTGAGTGTGTGTTTGGGGCGGGGAGGCACTGCTATTTGAGAGGGAGGGTTGAATGTCTGTGGAAGAAACACATCCAAGAGAGTTCTGGACCAACTTGGAATGTGGTGACCAAGTGAATGTAGCTCTGTCACCAAGATCTCCATATCAGCCACTGTGAGCAGTCACCACTGCCAGGCCCAGCCCAGAATTTCTGATATCTTGGCACCCATGGTTAGTGAGAGAGGTCAAAGTGTTTTTAAACAGGAACTAGCTAAGGTGGGATTTTTTTTAAGTGGTAAAAAAGTAAAACTAAGATTTGATCTGCATCATTAAACTTTCAAATCTCAGGAGCCACAGTGTAAATATCACACTGCCATAAACAATGCTGCCAGCTCCACGGAGAGCTGAGCCGCTCTGTTAGGTTAATTTAGGCTAAATCTATGGTGCCTATTTTTCATTCCTACTATTGTGTGACTATGTCCTTGGCACATGGTCTTGGAGACCCTGAGCAGGACATGGGAGGGGAAGGAAGTGAAGCTGCAGCCCACCGAAGGTCCTTTTGGCCACCAAGCCAGTTATCAAGGCCATTTCAAGAGCTCAGGGGTGAAGCCAGTGGTCCACCGGAGGCCATCTAGGCAAAAACTTGACTTTGAGCCTCCCACACAGGAGAACCCAAAGATCAGCTCGAGTCAGGTTCCTTTTTCTTAATGCTGTGTCACATCTGACTTCCCCAATCTCTACAAACCTGCAACAGTCCTTCTGGCTTCCCCGCCTGCCACCACCACCGCCACTGTCACCACACCACAGTGCCGTCTTCCCTCCAGGTCTCTGCATGTTGGTCTCTCCCGGACCAGCTGTTATGTGGGGAGTTTCGGGGGAGAACCTTCCAGCCTTCCAGGGAAGCTGTCCTGGAGAATAAATGATCCTCCCAAGCAGCAGCAGGTGACTAAGTAGGACTGGTCACAGGGTGATGAGGAAGGAATCTTCTAGCTTGCCAAATTCCCTGACTGGAAAGCCCCGACAGGCTGTCCAAATCCAGCCCTAGTGACTGTATTTCTCGATGATTCTGAGGTGTGAATTATGAAGCTACTTCTCTTAGAAGAGGCTTCCTGGGGCAGCCTACCTTCCCTTTCTGGGCCTCGGCATGAGATCAAGGGTAGCCATGTGCCCATCTCAAGGGCTACAGTTGGAAGGTTTGCTGTGATGAGCTATGTCTGCTGAGGGCACAGGAAGGAGCAGCAGTGGGAAGAACTCTACCTCTTTGTTCCCCTTGGTCTAGACCATCATCCTCCTAGATATTCGACATACAGATCTTTCTAGATCTTCATCCCCATGGCCTGATTGATGTTTCCACATTGTTGGTGCAGGCCATTGACCATCACACTGTAGACAATCCTGTCTATTCCCACCCATGCACCTAAGTCTGGGAGTCAAGGATGGGGCTCATCTATCACAGACAGGATTGTAGAATGGTCCCCAAGGGCTCTGAGAATCCATCTTCTGGGAACCCCAGGTTTGCCACAAGGGGCCAAGATGACATCTCAAGCATGGGACAGAGTCCCTAAGAGTGCTATAGGTTGAGGAATGCCCACTGCCAAAGAAAGGCTAGTCTGAGTCCCTGACCCAAAGACCTCAGAATGAGCCCTGATTTGGAAACTGGGTTGTCACTGATGGAACTAGTTCAGATTAGGTCACACCTGAGTAAGGCTGGTGTGATGGTCAATGCTGACTGTCAACTTGATGGGATGAAGAAATCCTGCCTAGAGGAGTTGGAGGCACACCTCTGGGTGTGTCTGTAAAACTGTCAGTTAGATTCAGGCCTCTGAGCTCATGCATGGTGAATCACTTGATGGACTCCTGAAAAGGTTAACTGGGAGGTGGTAAAATGCAGGAGGTAGGGTCTAGCTGGTGGAAGTAGGCCACAGGGGTGTGTCCATCAGGCTAGGTCTCACCCTGATCTCTTCCTGCATATTCCCCTCTCTGCTTCCTGTCTGCCATGATGAAGTGCCAGCCTCTTCCTCAGACCATCATGATGTTCTGCCTCATGACAGGGCCAGAAACACAGAGACACGTGGCCATGGACTTAACTCCGAAACTGTGAACCAAAATAAGTAATTCCTCTTTTTCACTGTTTCTGTTGGTCATGTGGTCACTGTCACAGTAGCAGTGACTAGTCAGTGAGGTCCTGTTCCAACAGGACTGGGTCCTCAAAAAAAGCCAAACAAAAATGGAGACACAGAGAGACCAGTGTGTGTGGTGTGTGGGGGGGGGCAAAGGCAGAGATTACAGAGATGCTGCCACAAACCAAGGAATGCTGGACTTTGCCAGAAAACCACCACAAGGAAAGACTCTCTAACAGGGTTCAGAAGGGGGCAGGTCACGTGGGCAGTTTGCTTTGGGCTTTGGACCACCAGAATGATTGAGAGTACATATTTCCATTGTGGAAAGCCACTTGGTATGTGCTAGGTTGTCATAGTAGCTCTCAGAAGCTATCATGGGGGACGTGGGTGGGGGGCTTGGCTTAAGCAGGGTCACACTTGGAACAAGATCAGACACCAAGGGGTAGATGGGTGAAAATGAGGACTGGCAGGGCTGGAGGACAGAAAGGGACTGTTTGGGGACTCGAGGTTGGATCACTATGGGAATGAAACCTGGAGATGAGAGGCTGCAGGCCTTGGAAACCCACAGTCTCAGTCATTCCCAGGGAAGACTGAGGCCACCAGGGGAAGGAAGGGATAGCTTGGTTCTCCTTAGATGCAAATGTCTGCACATTAAAGGGGCCACTAGCAAGCAAGGGCCAGTTAGCCGGAGGTGTGATGAGAAGTCCAGGAGATATGAAGCCTGAAGCCCAGCCCAAGGGGTGGAAGAGATCTTGATGAGTGGGGAGGTAGGGGACAAAGCAAGTGTGGGGAGATGACATGGGACCAAGGACTAGACCCAAGGGACCCTGGTCTCCTAAGTGGAGAAGCACTGAGGGCCAGGGAAGGCTGGGTTCTCCCTGGATCACCCATGTCTTTCATCCCAAATAGTCCTTGGAACTGTGGCGAACTCCCTCTCTGTTGACAGTCAGCTATACTGAAGTGGGAGAAGCAGGTTCCAGTGCTTTGGGGCATTTCAGCTCCTAGTGGCTCAGTACTCCCTGTCCCTCCCCTGTCCTCCTACTCCTGCTGCAAAGGTGCATGACAAAGACAGAATTCCATGGACCAAAGAGATCCTGGTGAGATTAAAGACAAACGAGGCACTAGATTCTAGGCGTTAGCAGTTTGTTCGGGCAGGTCCATGCCCAGCCACAGGACGGGTCCACTGTGGGGCTTGCTGCATGGGAACCATTTGTTGACAGGAATGGCTTCCAGCAACACCAGAGCTCTGGGACACATGCAAGATTCATGAATGTGGAGTCAGGGAGACACAGATGTCCCCGAGGAGAGGAAGGCCCACGTGGGAACAATCTGTGAAGGCCCTTGAGTACCCCTGGTCCAGATAATGGGAGCTTTGCACAGGGGATTCGAGAAGGCCTTGGGGGTCCATTTGAGTGGTCCTGGGGTGGGATTCTCTAGAAACCTCTCTCTCAATCTTCCCACCATGGAAGCAAGCTTGGCCCAAGGACGTGGATCCAACTGGGGTCATCCAAAAGTGGAGCTGTCCCTGTCCCTGTGTGCTTGGTTGGGATTTGGGTGTCAGCTCAGGGGGTGGGACTTGAAGTCTTGGTTTCTCTGGCTGTCAGGGAGATACCTGGGTTGAAGAAGCAGCTTTGGGACCCCTGAGGCTGGGCAGCAAGTGTCCAGAGAGAGGGCCTGTGGCCAACCCCAAACATCCTGCCCCACTGCTTCTGTGCTTCACGTATGGATGGCTTTCCCTCTTCTGCCTGGTCTGATTATCGGGGACAGGGCTTTGGGAACATGGACCAGTGAACCCAAGATGTTCCCCACCATTTACTCTAGCACCTGCTCCCAGCATCCCTCAGCCAGAACACTGGGGGAACCCAATATAGACCAGAGAAACTTCTAGCTCAGAGAGTGAAGGGACAGAAGATGGGGTGCTGAATAAGCAGATGGGGGTACATGGATGGACACAGGCTCCTATGGGGAGGCCACTCGGGACCCAGCACCAGGCCAGAGCAGAGAATGTGAAACCTTTACAGACACACTCCCTCATCACCTCCCAACAAGGGTGAGAGACAGGGAGGCTGAGACCTTCTGTGAGCATGAATGCACACATCCATGTAGTTTAACATACACACCTCGCATTCATCCCCACGGGAAAACCAACTCCAGCAGTTTAAGTACCAAAGAAGGCAGAAAAGGAATGTACTAGAATTTGAGTCACAGTCCCAGTTCTCAGGGATCTGACTTCAGGGGTGTTCTAGGAGCCCCTAGAAGTCCCCCAGATTGGGAAGCCACTGTGCCTTCCAATTGTCCATGGGAGCATAGGGCAGTGAGTGAGCCAGGATGACAGTCTCACAAAACAGGGGACAAAAGCCAAACCAAAGGACTTGTCCCCAGAGAGGCCCCATGCTGAAAAGACACATAGGATTGTCTAGCTGTCCTTTGGGTCTGTGCCCAGGTGCCACAAGACACATTGGGCTTGGGATGGGGCCTCTGAAAACAGATGCTTGCAAGCTTAGCCAAACTTCCTCCCCACCCTGACCTGGGCCTGGGAAACTTGATGGAGCATGTGTGCTACTCTGCATCTCTGTCCTACCTTCCTGGGTAGCACAGCTCAGATGACCACACAGAGACAAAAGCAGCTGAGGACGCTGCACAGCTAGAGCAGGTTTGTCCTGGAAAGAGAGCAAGTGGCCCTGTACACGTGTAGACACACACACACACACACACACACACACACACACACACCAGTCCGATGAGAGAGTCTGCCCATGGGGCTGAGTGTCCTGGTCTTCACAGGCCAGGGTCTCTGCGTTCAGTCTGCAATGCGGGTCTCTTCTTCTCTACTCCACAGCATCCCCTGAACCTTGGCTGGTCCAGTTTGGTACTAGCTCAGGGGTCCCCATCCTGCCCAAAAAGGGGCACAAGCCTGAGGTGCAGGCAGCCCCCGCCAGTGCTGTCACATGGGGCTCCCAAACTAGCTGGGTTGGGACCCTCTGGAGGTGAGCCTGGGGCCTCCTGAGCTGGCAGAGGGCGGAGCAGGGAGGGAGAGGTGTTTAGGAGCTGAGTGCCTCACTGGCCCATGTCCATGGTCACAGCCTGGAATGGGGAGAGAAGAGAGAACAGGGTAAGAGGGATGTAGGTCCAGACATACCATCCTTTGCATGCTAACATCCTCTCAGAGGGAGTCTTCCAGCTCCTGCCTTTCTAAGGATAAAGGACTTCTACTGACAAAGCTCCTACTGTGTGCTATATACTCTGTATAAGTGTGTGGCCTGTTTCTGACCTCATTTAAACATGAAAAGAGCCCAAATTTGGGAACCTTGTACTCCTTCCTCATATGAAAAACCAAAGTTCAAAGAGGGTATATGGTTTGCCTAAGGGTGCAGAGCTAAGGAGCATCAGGGTCAAAATTTGAACTCAGAACACTTACTAGAGCAGGTGGTCCAGTGTGCCAGTTGCGGGGAGCTTGAACTTGCAGAAGCTACAGGCTGAGGGTGCGAGACCAGATCTATGTAATGAACAGGAGCAACGCAACCTCATTGATCTCTGTCTCTCCCAGAATGGGGTCTGAGTCCCAATAGGTGTGCAACATACATGGGGTGAATAACAGTAAAAAGACCCAGTAACGAAAGATGAAATAATAAAATTTGCAGGTAAATAGATGGATCTAGAAACTGTAATACTAAGTAACACAGACTCAGAAAAACAAATGACGTATGTTTTCCCTCATTTGTGGATCCTAGCACCAAATCCTTTTAAATTCCATGTCATTTTAATAAGATGATGCTGTACAGCAGCCTCTTCTGCATGAAATAACTACCATTGTCATGACTTCAGCTGTGCCTGATTGCTAAACATCATCACAACTGGACTTGTTGATGGTTGTGCTCCTTCATTAAAGGAAGGCTAAGCAGGGTCATTGGACCCTCTTAGTATCCAGCCTCTCTTCCCAGCCAACTGTATGTAATTTGGCCCTAATCACACATAGTCTCCTGGATTTGGGGAGGGCTAAGAAGAGAACATGACCCATGCTGGGTAAAGGCTTTCCAGTGTGCATACCCTCAGGTCATACATACACCTTAGCAACCCCTCAGTAATCTCAGTAAGTGAGCTCAGTAAATTCATTGGTTCCCCAGTAAAACTTTAATCAAACATTGACTTGACACTAGAACCTTAAAAGGGAATAAGCATTGCT